TCAATGGCCCTATGAAGCAGGAAGGATAAATAACATTGTCCTCATTTCACAGTAGGGAAAAGGATCAGAGAAGTCAAGTAACTTGCTCCAAACCTCGTAGTTGGCAAATGTCAGTGTAAGGTTCTTATCCTATACCTTCTAAATCCAAAATTCATTCCAGTACAGTAATGCTGTGTCATGCTTACTTGTAGAGGGCAGCAAATGAATCCATCAGTGCGTACACAGTAGGGATGAGGGTGAAGATAAATTTCATGTTTAGAGCTTTACCTGCTGCACAATCATGTTCTCCTGCCTTTAGGTCTGGGAAGCAGAGCCTCTAGCTTTGAAATATTGGGCCATATCGAGTTCCCTGGCTCCTCAATTTTTTTTTTTTTGATGCTCAGGTTTCAGTGTAAAGCTTCCCTCTTCAAAATAACATTTCAAAAACCACAGGAGGAGTTCCTTGGATAAGCTAAGGCAGTATCTATCCTTCACCATTAAATTTTTATTTCAAAAGCATTGTGCTCAGACCTAGAGGCATTTTCCTTTGGTGGCTTTTATCACTCTTTAAAATAAATAGAAAGGGACACATGCATTTTTATCAAATCATCCATCTGAAAATGAAGCCCAATTCAGCATGGAAACAGATGACTTTCCTGTACTTTCTAATAATGTTTTATTACTGACATTTTGTTATTACTACCAAAACTTGTTCTCTCTCTTCTGATTTTGTGATAATATAAAATTATTAGTAGAATATTATTATAGCAGTTTTAGATTCGTGGATTCTTGGGACAGGTATTACCTTTGGAGAAATCATGATTTCACCTATGCAGAAAATACTGATTTTCTTTTCTTTTCTTCTCTCTTCTTCTTCTTTGCTAAATCATTGAATGATTATTATTTTAATCCATTTATTTGGGCATATAGCCTAAATATTGTTGCCATCATGTTCGACTCTTCATGACTCCTGGCAAGGATACTGGAGTGGTTTGGCCATTTCCTTCCCCAGTGTGTCCTCATTTTATAGATGAGGAATGGAGGCAAATAGGGGTTAAATGACCTGCCCAGGGTCAAATAGCTAGTAAGTGTCTGAGTTCACATTTGAACTCAGATCTTCCTGATTCCAGGCCACTGTTCTATCTACTGCACCACATAGCTGCCCCAGCCTAAATATAAAAATCTTCAAAATCTCAAGGTTTGCACAGCAAACATTATATTGAATTCGTAGCTAACAATTAGAAAATTAGTCAACTAGGCATTTGTTAAGCACCTCCTGTGTTCTAGGCATTGTGCACTTTTATTCAAAGTTTGCCGGCTGATAGGTAATGTTGTCCACTAACTCCTTTGCTTAACTCTGATGCTGCACAGGAAATACTATTGGGTATATGCCTGGCCTGCTGAGAATCCACTTTTGTGGGGGCGCCAATTCCTGTGGCTCCCGTGGAACTGGAAGTTAACTCATGCAGCCAAGATCAATGCTAAATGCCTGGAGGCAAGGCAGAGCTGCTGTAAAGATGGGTGTACCTTTTAGCAGAGCCCAGTAGTATTTGTCCATCGTCCAGAACATTTGTCCGTTCGCCAGGCATCCCAGGTGCCTAATGTGGCACCTGGGGCATAGTAGGCACTTAATAAATGATTGTTGATTGATACCACTCATTCATTGTAGTCTTTACATATCCAGCTATCTCAGCTCACTGAGTTTATAGCTCTTAGTGGAAGCCCAAAAGCTCTGGAGATCTAGTACATAAATAACCGAGGCTAAAGGTTACTGAAGAATGCATAAAAGAATGTTTGTGGAAAAAAGGAAGATCCTTTCTGCATCATTTTGTTGTTGATGTTGAGTTGTTTTAGTGGTGTCTGACTCTTCGTGATCCCATTTGGGGTTTTCTTGACAGAGATACTGGAGAGGTTCGCCATTTCCTTCTCCAGTTCATTTTACAGATGGGGTAACTGAGACAAACAGGGTAAAGTGACCTGCCCAGAGTCAGACAGCTAGTAAGTGTCTGGGACTGGATTTGAACTCAGGCCTTCCTGGCTCCAGGCTTGCTGCTCTATCCAGGCTTGGCACCACCTTCATATTGCCTACATATTTAGGGACTTACAGACTTCACAATATACCTTGAGTTGACATTTAATGAAAAAGAAAACCAAATTTGGTTTATTCAGGTGATGATGATGATGGTGATGGAGGACAGCAGACAGTGCCCTGGAATTGAAGGCGAGAGACGGCTTGTTAGGGAGGGAAGTAGCTGCTGTAGGAACCCATTCTAAGTGCATGTTACATGCCAGGCATTGTGCCATATGCCAGGGAAACAGATACAAAAAGCAAGCCAGTCCTTGCCATGCCAGTGACATGGCAGAAAGATGTCTCTCAGGCAGAGTGGTTGGTTTGGAATGGCTAGAGATGGTGGACTCTCATCAGTCAGAAACATACAGCCTCATTGTGGCAGGCTTAGTGGCAAGTTAGAGGTAAAAATAGAAAGCATCAGATATCTTTGTTATAAGGATATAACCTGAAGAAGAAGCATAATCCTCCATAAATCCAAATTGCTGGCCAAAGTAACTCATAATACATTATTATCAGCAGCGGTCCTCCATCACTATGATGAACAGTGTTGGAGGATGTTACAAACCTATATCTGAGACCTGCATATTCCTTCAGCATCGTTCCTTGTATAATAATAATAATAATGATAACTAGCATTTATGAAGCATTTACTTTGTGCCAGGAATTATGCTAAGCATTTTACAATTATTACCTCATTTAGTCTTCACAATAATCCTGAGAGGTAGATTTTATTATTATCACCCCCATTTTGAAGATGAGGAAACTGAGGTAAACAGAGGTAAGTGACTTGCCTAAGGTCACACAGCTGGTAAGGGATTGAGGCCAGATTTGAACTCAGGTACTCTATCTACTGTACTAGTATATGGTACTGTTTTTCTCACATTTAGTAGCAGTTTGTGATCCAGTCTAACTACCCTTGATTTTACTTCTTTTTTTTTTTTTGATGTATTTGCTAGCTGGAAGCCACCTGTTAGACAGAGGGAGAAGAGAAGACGGCCCAGGACAGACCCTTGGAGGACACCCAGAGATAGTGGACATGACCTGGAGGAACATTGGACAAAGGAGACTGAGAAGGAGCAGACAGGTTAGGGGAGAATCAGGAGAGAATAGAGTCCAGTAACGGTGAGTGCACAGCAGAGAGGGATTGACAGTGCTGAAGGCTGCAGAGAAAAGGCCATTGGAGCTGGCAATTTAGAGATTTTGGGTAACTTTGGAGAGAATGGTTTCGTTTGACAGATGAGGGCGAAAGCCAGAGTAGAGAGTGAGAGGACAGGAAGTGGTAGTATGGATTGGAGATGGATTTCTCAAGAGGTTGACTCATGATGGGGAAGAGATACAAGGTGATAGCTGTTGAGGGTGGTCAGATCAAATGAGAGTATTTTTTAAGGATCAGGGAGAGACGGGTATGTTTGTAGGCAGTAGGGAAGCAGGCAGTGCATAGGGAGACATCAAAGGTTAGTGAGAGAGTGGGGATGATAGAAGGGGCAATCGCCTAGAGAAGAGGGGATATTACTGGATCACTTGTGCATTTAATGAGGTTTGCCTCGGCAAAGAGAAGGGTCATCTCTTCATGTGAATAGGAGTGAAAGAAGAGAGGGTGGGAAGACATCTTAGTGTTATGAGATGAAGAGAGAAGAAGAGGGAGCTCCTGGCGAATGACCTTAATTTTTTTTCACTGAAGTATAAGGTGAGATCCTTCCTTGAGAGAGTAGGAGGGAATACCATAGGGAATTTGAGGAAAGAGATGACAAGGTTTGGAACAGTAGTGAAGGGGATACTGAATTGTTTAGATGTAAAAGGATTGCCTTGCTGCATGGAGAGCCCAGTTGAAATCATTTAACACAAATTTGTAGGGGATCCGGCCGCTATGTTTTTGTAATTATCTTTTTTGTGTTTTGCCTGGTGTCAGTGGTTCTAGTGACTGACTGAGGATGGGTTGTCTTGTCCATGTTCCCTGGAGAACAGGGTCTTTGAGTGGTAAAGGGGCTTGGGTCTGTGTGTCCTTGTTGGAAGCAGCCATCCTTTGGGTTTGGGGGTGGGCGTTGAGTCACCAGCATGGTTGCAGTCTGTGGTGAGGCTTGACTCAGAGACTTTTTTCAAGGAACAAAGAATCAGACAGTCTTCCTTTATTTTATAAGACCTTTTATAAGAAAGTGGAAAACCAACTGACTGTGATGACTGGTTTGGGGAAACAAAAAGCATCTCCTTCCCCTCAAATATTCAGGTGAAAAAGAACACTGGATTATCACTAATATTATGATGTAACAGGAGAGGAAATCAATCATATAGGTAGTTGGTATATACTTTTTAATATTAGGATTGTTGAAAAAATGCTTTCTAATCGACATTTGCACAAGTCACTTTTTAATCTGTTGTTATTTAGTTGTCTACCATTGTATCTGACTCTTTGTGACTGTATTTGGGGTTTTCTTGGCAAAGATACTGGAGTGGTTTGCCGTTTCCTCCTTCAGCTCATTTTGCAGATGGGGAAACTGAGGCAAACAGGGTTAAGCGATTTGCCCAGGATCATACAGCTAGTAAGTGTCTGAGGCTGGATTTGAACTCACGAAGATGAGTCTTTCTGACTCCCCGTCTGGCACTCTATTCACTGTGTTTACAAAATTTTAAACTTACTAATATTTCTGCTTCTAAGCAAATGTAGTAGGGGAGCTACTACGTAGCAGGATATACCTATGCACGGAGAAGGATCCCACAGAAAGCATCCCTCCCTTTATGACAGTCTACTCCCCTAGTCATGTAGGGTGAACTAATCTCAATAATGAACTTTGTTAATTATTCATTTCCAAATCAAGAATTGTGCTTGGGACTCCAGCTTCGATATCTCTCCCTACAGATACCAGGGATATTATTGTATCTATAAGAGAGAATAGAATCTTGGGGAAAGTGGCAGTTTTACTGGAGAGAATGTTACATGTCATGGCTGGAGAGAGACAGCACACAGAGATAAAAGACTAAGATAACTTTTTTCCCCCTGAGAAATACTGTGTGAAAGACAGAAAAAGGACTAAGATAAATTATTTCCTAGGAGAGCTGAATTTAACTCACCTTGTGAAGAAACGTTATAAAAATATTTTTGATAGATTTTGACTGCCATCTTGAGAGAGTTACGATGTTGAAAAGTGAGTAGTTGAAGTTGATAGTTAGAGGTGATTCTGGTCATCATTTCTATCACTGGGATATATTCCTGAATTATTTTAATGTCTTTGTGTTGCTTGTTACACCGTTAACAAATGATATCTAGTAATGTTGATGTTTATTAAGTCTACGAGACTAGAAGATTTGAGAAAGAGAAAGTTTATGAGAAAAGACATTTTTCCAGTTTATTTTGTAAACAGGGTTGGAGACATTATTAATTAATGAGAGTGATTGTACATTTCTTTTAATTTATAAATATGAAAATATAGCTCTCAATTGTCTTATAACCCAGGAGGAAAATTAATAAGAAAATGTTCCAGGAGCAGTTACAAAGAGTTAATCCCACCTAAGCTATTATAGAGTCATTATTCCTCAAACCCTGCTAATTCTTTAAACCATTAACAATTTCAGCCATTCAAACTGTTCCTAGTACCTCTAATACTCTCAGGCCTCCTTTCCACCTATCCTAATCCTATCCATCCTTTAGTTGTTCAGTCATTTTTCAGTCCTGTCCGACTCTTTGTGATCCCATTTGAGGTTTTCTTGGCAGAGATGTTGGAGTGGTTTGACATTTCCTTCTCCAGCTCATTTTACAGATGAGGAAACTGAGGCAAACAGGGTTAAGTGACTTGGGGAAACAATTCTTTGCCATCATAAAAAGAGCAACTACAAATATTTTTGTATATAATAAGTCCTTCCTTTCCTTTGATCTCTTTGGGATACAGACCTAGTAGTGGTATTACTGGGTCAAAGGGTATGCACCGATTTATAGCCCTTTGGACACAGTTCAAAATTGATCTCCAGAATGATTGGACTAGTTCACAACTCCACCAACAATGCATTAGTGTCCTTATTTTGCCATATCCCCTCCAGCATTGTTATTTTCCTTTCCTGTCATATTAGCAAATCTGATTGATATGAGGTAATATCTCAGAGTTGTTTTTAATTTGCATTTCTCTAATAGTGATTTACAGGGGCAGCTAGGTGGTGCAGTGATAGAATGAGCCTGGACTCCCTGGAGTCAGGAGGACCTGAGTTCAAATCTGTCCTCAGACATTTGACTTGTACTAGTTGTGTGACCCTGGGCAAGTTACTTAACCCTGAGCAGCTCGTGGAAAAAAAGAAAAATAGTCATTTAGAGTATTTTTTATGTGATTATTTATAGAGGCTATTGATTCTTGTAAGAGATTGGGATTGAGTAAGTTAAATGTTATCTATGAAGAGTCTGTGAGAAGACTCTGAGAGTTAACTGTCATTTTGTGAGAATATTTGTTTTTGTTTGGAACTTTGATTTCATCTGTGTATGGAGCTCCTTTAACTGAGGAAACTCCCTCTACCTATATAACTATAATACAGTTTATGGTCAGATAACATATATCACATGTGGGACCTGAACTGAGGTTTGACTCTGCAGTCTTAATGGTTCGTAATCATGCAACTCTTAAACATGGATTTCAGTAAGCATTATTTGCTCAAGAAATATGCCACTAATTCATAGTTGTAAAGTTAATAATTTGACACTTATCTGAACATTTGGATTCAATTGGCAGGTAGTAGAATGGTGAACAATAACCATGAAGAATGATAGGTGAAATGGATTCAGTTGTCCGGTAGTTAAAATTGTGCTTGTGTGTGTGTGTGTGTGTGTGTGTGTGTGTGTGTGTGTGTGTATAATGCTGAAATAAGTGGGAGGGCACGCTTTGCTTTCTAATTCTAAGGTTTATTGAAATAATGATACATAATTAAAGCAAGGATGCTCCATCTCAGTCTCACGGAGACTCGCATTGACTTTGGAACCAGCAGAGCACTTTTCAGGAAGGAGGGTCTTGTCAGGTTCGGGAAGCCAATGCAAGATACCAACAGGGGTCTTTTTTTAGGTCTAGCCTGACCACTTATATAGACGCAGCTAAAGTTTTCTTTAGGGCTAGCTGCAGAGTTTTGAGATTAGGCATTCTAGCAAGCTTCTGGAGTGCTTAATTAGAGCAAATTTAATGCCAAGAAGGGAGGGTTGCACAGTTACCCAGTGGATCTCTCCTAGAGTAATCCCATGTCTTCTTCCTTCACAGTAATGAAATTCAAATCTGTGTAAACATTGATTTATTTATATATGCCAATCTGATGCTGTACCATGGAAGAGTATCTTGTAAGTATAACACACTGACAAAACTGTAAATTAGCAATTAGATCAAATTTTTAAAGGTGTACCACTAAAAGTAGGGTTTTAATTGACCGTTAGTATTTATTCATGAGATTTTACATAAATATATTTAAAAAGTAAAAGTCACAAGGAAAAAGTGATAGGATCAGTAGAAATAATTTAGATTATTTATTTAGCTGGATTATCTAATTAGCTAACAAGATGAGCACATCATTGGCCCAAGTGGTGTTGTTCAGTCATTTCAGTCATGTCCCTGTCTCCATGACCCCATTTTGGGTTTTCTTGGTAAAGATACTGGAGTGGTTTGCCATTTCCCTCTCCAGCTCATCTTACAGATGAGGAAACTGAGGTAAACAGGGTTTAGTGACTTGCCCAGGGCCACACAGCTACTAAGTGGCTGAGGTAGGATTTGAACTCAGGTCTTCCTGACTCCAGGCCTAGCACTCTATCCACTGTGCCACCTAGCTGCCCCTGTTAGCCCAACGGTGAGGGTTAATTGGTGGGAGAGAACAGAAAGACACTGTGGTATAGTTGAAGGCAAGATAGCCTTTGAATTAGGAAGACTTGGGTTCAAATCTTGTGTTTGCTAAATACTAGCTATATGACCTTGGGTAAATTATTTTATCATTGTATTTCCCAGGGAACTCTCTGAACTATAAATTGCAGAGTGGTTCTAGGTCTGCATTGGGACTTTCTTCACTGGGAGTTCCCAATACCACTGAAATCGCAAGTCTTCACCTCACCCCTACCCCAGTGGTGTAGATGGTCCCTTTAGAGCCAGTGTTCATGGTCTCCCTTCTAATGTTTTGCCGTTGGAAGGGGTGATTGGGCAGGAAACTTCATGTTTTCCATTTCATCAGAGACCCCATAATAGAGGACGGTTTTGGGGAAACTATGAAAGAATTGGGTGTTTGGGTGTAAATCCTTGCTCTTCCCACTCATCTGCTGTGCGCTATTAGATAAGTCATTTAGCAGCAATGGGTTTCAGTTCCGATGATGCTTGTACTGGACCACTAGGTGGTGCCATAGTGCACAGAGCACCTCACTTGGAGTCAGGAAGGCCTGAGTTCAAATCCTACTTCAGACACTTACTGGCTTTGTGACCCTGGGCAAGTAATTAACCCTATTTGCCTCAGTTTCCTCATCTGTAAGATAAGCTGGAGAAGGAAATGGCAAACTGATCCAGTACTGTTGCCAAGAAAACCCCAAATGGGATCATGGAGGGTCAGATAATCGAAATAACTGAACAACAAAAGGTACTTGTATTTCCTATCTCATAGGGTTATTGTGAAAATCAAAGGAGATGAGAGTAAAACTATTTGTAAGTTTTAAAGGACAATATAAATGGGACCTGATGTACCTGGACTACATCCCCTGGTTGGATGGCTCCTTATAACCACAGAAGGGGTAGGGTCAGCAGTCAGAGAAAAATGGCCATTGAGCCTTTGGGTCAGTGAGTAGAGCAATTCATCATTAGTATGACAGTGTCCATCTTTCAACTCCCCCACTGACAGCTCCACTAATTTTTCTGTTGATTTCTACTGATCTGTCTCTTTAGTTTTGGGATGTAGACTTATCCAGCAAACCTTTCAGGTATCGGATCTTTGATTCTGCTCTCTATCCTGGTAGGGCAAGCCCCTTGATGCTCCTTGGCTATCTTGAACTCACCATCGAGTCCAGTCAGTTCAGACCTACTCAGAAATATGGGAGGCATAGCCATCAGATGCAGATGCTGATTCATTTTTCCTGTACACTGCTCAGTGACTTTGAAATGATGTAAAGTGACCAGTGTGAAGGGCCCCAAGTTTGTCCATACTTCACTGCAGAAACTGCTTTACAAATTTAGTTGTATTTTGTCATATTTAAAAAATATGCATAGGATCATAGATTCACATGATTTAGAGCTAAAAGAGGCCCTAGAGATAATCTTGTCCAACCTAGATATTTTACACATGAGGAAACTGAGGCCCTAAGATAGGAAATGACTTGCTTAAGATCACATAGGCAGAGCCAGGATTTTAACCTAGGCTTTTTGACAATTTTTTTTCCCTTCTAGATTTATTTGTTTCATAGGAAACAGATGAAAATTGAAGTATTTGATGATAGGTGGGACTTTACTTAAAATTTGCTGAAATACACCAAAACTCATTCGCTTTGTCTCTACATAAGGAAGCCTTCTATAAATAGAAGGGGTTCTATTTCTGTGAATAATTGAAAATGGAGTGTATGGTCACTTGTGGGTTTAAAATTTCACCTGGATGACTGCTCATGATGCAGTTGGGGTCACTGAGAGAGCAGGTGGGTGTAATCCTGACCATGCACTCTGGAAATGGAGGCTTAGTCCATTTCTTAAAGAACATGCCTCTCATCTCAAAAGTGGGGCAAAGCATAACCCTAGGCTCTCTGGTGTAGAGTATATCCTTTATCAAAAGCTTTGAACAGAATTGTGAAGTAGGCAAAATTGGCTTAGGTGGGCCTGATTTTCCTTTTTTTTTTTTTAAAGAAAAAAAATTCTTTGGTTTTCTCTTTCTTGCTTTTTAATCTCCTGTTAATAATTTGTTCCATATCTCCCCATTCTGTAACTGTCAAGTGACTTTCTATTTTCCCTTTCTTTGTTGTTGTTGTTTGGTTGTTTCAGTCGTGTCTGACTCTTCATGACCTCATCTGGGGTTTTCTTGGCAAAGACACTGGAATAGTTTGCCATTTCCTTCTCCAGCTCATTTTTACAGATGAGGAGACTGAGGTAAACAGGGTTTAGTGACTTGCCCACTGTCACACAGCTAGTAAATGTCTGAGATCAGATTTGAAATCAGATCTTCTGGACTCCAGGCCTGGTGCTCTATCTACTGCACCACCTAGCCGCCCTACTTTCTTGCTCTACTACCCTTCAAAACTTGCTTCCAGAAAAGGATCTGGTAGAGTAGTAACTCACACTAAGAAATGCATGATAACAAGACTTAATGTTACTGCTCCTAGGAGTGTCTTAATATATATATTATATGCACACATGTAATATGTGTGTGTGTGTGTGTATATATCTATATATCTATATCTATATCTATATCTATATCTATATCTATATCTATATCTATATCTATATCTATATCTATATCTATATCTATATCTATATCTATATAATTTTTCTCCCAATTACATGTTAAAACAATTTTTTAACATTTAAAAAAATTTTGAGTTCCAAATTCTATCCTTTCCTCCTACATCATTCCCAGACAGTAAGCAATCAAATATAGGTTATACGTTAACATTGCATAGTTTTTTTAGAAGGAGCATTGACAAGCTGGAATATATATGCTGGGAGAGAGTGGCAAGTTAGCAAGGGGAAGCCAAACCATGGCATGTGAGAGTTGGTCGGAAGGACTGGAGATGTTTAGGTTAGAGAAGAGACGACATAAGGGGAAATGTGATCAGCCTTTAGATGTTTGGGGGCTGTACAGTAGAAGAGGCATTAGGCTTTTTCTGAGTTTTAAAGGACAGAACCAGGAGTAATGAGTAGAAGTTGCAAAGAGGCAAATTTTAGGTGTGATGTCAGGAAAACCTTACTTCCAATCTGAGCTGTGATCTGCCTCAGAAGCTAGTCACTGTCACTTTCTGGTGGTGCTGAAACAAGCTAGATGGCCCTGGTTGGGAATGTTTCAGACAGGATTCATGCTCTGAATGGGGGCTGGGCTAGATAACTTGTCAGGTCACTTCCAATTCTAAGATTCTGTGATTTAATTAGAGTGGATTGGATTTAGTGTACCACCAACTCAACATGAATCAGTGATCTGATGCGGTTGAAGGAGCTAATGTAATCCCATGTTGCAGTAATAGAAATATGGAGGTCAGAGCAAGAGAGCTTGTAGTGGTATCATATTCTGCTACATCAAGTCCTCCAGTGAGAGCAAACACACTTCCTCCTGAGGCAGGTCACTTCCTTTGTCATGTATAATTCTTAGAAAGTTTTTTTCTGAAGTCAAGCCTAAATTTGCCTCTTTGTAACTTTTACTGGGGGCAGCGAGGTGGTACAGTGGATAGAGGCCTAGACCTGGATTTTAGGAGAAACTCATCTTCCAGTTCAAATCTGGCCTCAGACATTTACTGGCTGTGTGACCCTGAGTTTCCTCATCTGTAAAATGAGCTGAAGAAAGAAATGGCAAATCACTCCAGTATCTTTGCCAAGAAAGCCCCAAATGGGGTCCTGAAGAGTCATACACAGCTGAAATGACTAAACAACAACATGTCAACCATTACCACCTAAGATAGATATCATGTGTCTCCATCCTCTCCCTACCAAGTTTTCTTTTGGCCTGGCTAAATGTACCCATTTCCTTCGCCCACTCATCATCAGAGAATAGACTCAGTGTTTTGTACCATCCAGGTGGCCCTCTGCTAGACCGACCCTCCATTTTTGAAGAAGGACCCAGATCCACCATGCTCCATTCCTTTCCAGGTTCTGCTTCTGACTCTCTAGACTTCATCAGCATGTCTTAGATGCCTCCTCACCCTGGAAATTTCCTCAATGTCTTCTCACTTGTGGAACCTCCTCCTTTCATTGGTGAATTTCTCTTGGAGCCACCATTTTGAGGAATAGCCTTTTGGCCAGCTGTTCTTTATTTCTCCTGTAGCTCTTCTTCTGATTCTGTGGACCTTGCTACCATGCACCTGCATGGTTATCTGCCTCCCAACTTCCTCCAGTCCCTTTTAGCTCCTTCTTATGTGTTGTCTTTCCCCCACTGGAATGTAAGCTCCTTGAGGGCAGGGGCTGAATGTCTTTTTGATTCTATTTGTATCCCCAGTGCTTAGTCCAGTGCCTGGCATGTAGTAAGCACTTAATAAATGCTTGTTAACTTGACTTACCTCTCCAGTTTAATCAACCTAAAATGTTGTGCTTAGGATTGAACACACCATTTGTACTTACATGATAAATTCATAATTTTAAGTTCACAGTCAAATCTCAATTATCTTATGTTTCACATGATTAAAAA